CGGGAGAGGAAAGGGCGGGAAGCGGGAGAGGAAAGGGCGGAATCGAGAGAGAAATGCAAAACGCTAACTTTTGTCATTTAAAAATACTTTCAAAGAGAAGAACCCAAAATGCTATGTGACTTGAATTTAGCGTATTTTAGACTTCTGGGCCCGAGAAACAAACAAAAAGTCGCCCTTGGGCTAAAAAACTGCCTCAGTTTGCAAGTCACATGCCTCGTGTTATGCAAGTCACATAGCATTTTGGGTTTTTGTATTTGAAAGTACCTGCTCCCTACGTTGGTTACGTCATAGGCCACGAAAAAGACGTGAGTAACTTGTTTCAAGTTGTGGCGAACGTAGGGAAGATGTGAAACAACTTATATTTTTGTAAGAGGAACGGTCACTTTTGAAAATGAAACTAGACTAACATACGAAACGTCAAATTCTGTATTAAAAAATCACGGCTGTCTACGTTATATTCTTAATCAAGCTACGATGGCCTAGGAACAACAGTGAATACGAGACGTGAGTAAGAGAAGTCAGGCTAAAAACAAAGGGAAAAAAAGTACAAGGATTGCGCAGCCTTGCGTAGGTAAATGGCTAGGACGTGAGTCTCCTTATTAACAGGGAACGGGAGCATCGCATGCAGGACAGATAAGGACGGGAGTCACGACATAAAGGTACGGAGCGGGAGACTTCTCCCCTGTTCCCCAGCTGCTCTGTTCCCCCACTTAACAGCTAACCCGAACGCCCGGTCGGGCTGAGCGTCATTCATTAGGATGCTCCGGGATGCTCACTACCTTCTAGTCTCCTTCGCAACCGTTATTAGGGTAGTCACGCAACGTTGTGTGACAACCCTAATAACGGCTGCGAAGGAGACTAACTACCCTCCCCTCCCCCTCCGGCTCCCCTCCGGTCCACTCTTCCCCGTGAGAGATTGGAAGCGAGGGCATGCGCACTGTCTATTCTTCTCCTGTTCTCGGTTCTCGATCTTCTCGATCAAGATCTGCAAGAATTTCCACACAGTTTAGAACTTTCAAGATGTTTTCAAGAACCGCCTTCCGTTTACATGACGCCAGCAAAGCTATAAGAGGTTTCTCGGTAGCTGCTCAGGTAATCACTTTGCTAAAATTGTGGTGAGTTTTCCGAAAAGAGCGGTCAACGCAGGTCCCTCAGGAATCTCTAAGCTTGCATATCGAGCTTTCTTTTATGATATGATTTGTAGAACCAACAGAAAGTTGCTGTTCTCGGTGCTGCTGGAGGAATTGGCCAGCCTATGTCACTGCTAATGAAACAGCATACGGCCATCAGCCATTTGGCTTTGTACGATATCGTCAACACACCAGGTATTGGATAAAGGTTTTATGCATGGGGATATTGTTAAATTTAAATAAATTAAGTCGAAATTATAAGCTTACCTATCAAATAGATATTGGCAGTTAAGACGACTCAGTCAATTGACAAAAAAAACCTCTGTGCAAAACAATAATTGAGGTGCTTAATTAGGTCAAGAGTAAAATATATACTTTTAAGTACATATTTACAGAACTGAAATAGTACATATAGAATTAAAATTCTTTTAACCTGGTTTTCACTCATTCTCCAGCCTCTGTCCGTTGTCTGTGCTTTGGATCTGCTTTGTTTTCAAAACACACAAAATCGTGTGCAAATGAGTCGTAGGTCTTATAATTTAATTTTTTCGTGATATTTTATGATGTTCCTGCTTAACATTAACAGAAAACGTGTCTCCTTTACCTTAAGGTTAATTCAGAGTGCAGGGAGGAGGGGAGCAGAGGGCTAAGTGGGCATTTACACTTGTAAATAGCTGATTTATGGTATTTTCAAACTGATGTTGAAGCTTTTGTGTCAGAGATATCCAGTTGTATTTAATCTTTCCCATTCGACCTTTTGCTTCATGCAGAAAGGAGACAAACGTCAACTACCATTGCTAATCATTTTGATTGATGATGTTTTGAATGATTCTCACATTTATTTTGGTTACATAACAGATATGTTGGTTCATTCTGCACTCAATGTGGCCATATTCTTCTAGTTGGGTTTTTAGTCACAGTATGTTGGTGTTAGCCAAGTTTATTCCATAAAAATTAGTGACTTTCAAAAAAGAGTCCCTACTGTATAATAATGGCAGAATTCAATCAATCAATCAATCAATCAATCGGTTGGTCGGTCGGTCGGTCGGTCGGTCGGTCAGTCAATCAATCAATCAATTTATCAAGGTCATTGCGTGGGATGACCTGTTTCTCTTGTCCTGACCTATTTCTCTTGTCTATGATTTTAAGGTGTTGTTGCAGACATCAGCCACATTTGCACACCAGCCAAAGTATGTATGTCCTGTAAACTTAAGGAAGTGTGTACACTTAATGCAGTGTCATTGAATATTGTCCTCCAGTAGCATTTTTATATAACAAAACTGACAAAAGTTCAAATGAGGCCTGAAACTACTGTGAAATTGATGTTAAAATCATTCAAAATCCAAGCTTCCGCCAATCCATGGCATGATCATCAACCCCTGATGATGCTGTGGATTGGCGAAAGCTTGGATTTTAAAAGATTTAACATCAATTTCACAGTAGTTTCAGGAATCATTTGAACTTTTGTCAGTTGTATCATTTAAGGCAGTGTGTATTCTTAAGGCAGTGTGTATAGAGGTTTTGTGTTCTCTTGCAGTCTTGATGTGTAGTTTTCTCTCACTTCTAACTGTTTTATGGTTACTATTCCATTTCTTTCTGCATTCTGCTATCTAACTATCTTATTGTTCTTTTAAGTATGGATGCCCTATTTTTCTTGCCTCTTGTAGCCAAACACATTGCGACTGAAATAGAATACAAGTACCCAAAAATATATGAAACTGGATTTGTGCAAGTTCTTTCAAAAACCAAAGAAAATTTCATTGACAGAGATTTCACTAATTATCTCAATAAAATGTTAGGTGACAAAGAGCCTCTCTATCGTGCCAACTTTGAGTTAATTCACTTGTGTTAAGTCAGCTCTCTGATTGATGCTGTGTTAATTAAAGGTTACAAGCCATCAGGGCCCAGATGACCTCCAGAGTGCCTTAGAAGGCTGTGCAGCTGTCGTTATTCCTGCTGGAGTCCCAAGAAAGCCAGGTACACAAGCCTTAAAGCAGTTTTCAATTGAGTGTCGTAAAACCAAGACCAAAGTAGTCACTCTAGCCAATCACAAAAGATGCAGACAGTACAGTGAACTTCTGATTGGATGAACAAGTGGTGGAAGTTTTTTAAGCCAGTTGACAAGACTAGTTTTTCTTCGTTTACACAGTTTTTCTATAGTATTTTAGCTCATTTCATGTGCAGCATTTGTTGCATTTGTGAAGCATCTGTAGCTTAGTAACCAGGCATTTTCCATGAACTAAGTTCCAGGCTCTTTGCTTAAAGTAGGTCTGAATGCCTTGAGGTTAAAAATTCTTGGCTTGTTTTGGTTTTTGTTTTAGGAGAAAAACTACTTCAAAATAATCAATCTCTTCAGAATTTTTGCTTGTGGGATTGTAAGGCAGCTGCTTTATTGCTAATATGGCACAATTTTTCTGTTTTATGTGGAAAATAGCTCTGATTATGCAGAGGATTCGGATGTTAGCAAATTATGCGGATCCGCACCACCGCATCCTGTCAGATGTTCTGTCATGGCATCCTTTAGCATCGAAAATTCACAATTCCTTTTTCCAGGGAGGGATACCCTGAAACCCCACTACAGACCTGCATCCTAAGGACACTTGAAAGCGTGCCTTTGGAACCCAAACTGCCTCCAACTTTCATATAACCTGCCCCTGGAAAACATTTTGTGAAGGCTGAGTGTAGTTGATGTAAAACCAATTACTTTTTGACATTCCAATGAAAACCACTTTATGCTCAAAATATTGGTTGACTTTGTCCTTGTCCCTTGTGTGCATCTATCATGCCAGAATGTTACTTCAGCTTCTGGGACATTGTTTTGAACCTCAAGCAAAAAAAATATGTCGTTGTTGGAAATTGGCTTACTTTTTTCTGTTAACTTCCCAGGCATGACCCGTGATGATCTTTTTAATACAAATGCTTCCATTGTACAAACTCTTTCAGAAGCCTGCGCCAAGTAAGATATCATTTTATTTTTAATTTTTCCTAGATTTGGTGTCCTGTTTGAATAGGGTAAAATTGTCTCAAAACTGAGGCCTTGTTATAGTAAATTATTCTTTTTGTCATTTGAATTCAGGTTTTGCCCCAAGGCTATCATTTGCATTATCTCAAATCCTGTAAGTTTCTTTGCCAGCATTTATTTTATTCTTTGAGTTGAAAATGACATTAAAGTTGTGTAGTATTTGCTTGACTATGTTTTGATTGTTTTTGTTTTTACCCACAGGTGAACTCTACTGTCCCAATTGCAAGTGAAGTGTTCAAGAAAGCTGGAGTTTATGATCCAGCTCGGTAAGATTGCTTCCCAGCTTATATATGTCTCTCACTAACTGAGTGCGAGGTCCATTCATTCTTGCCCCTAGAGGCTGCACACCTTTTGATCAGCACCAACAATTGCGACCTCAGGGAAGCCCGATTTTCTGAGCGTGCACAGAGAATTTGTTTCGTATTCTGAGCTAATCACATTTGTCAACGGTGACTCTGTGCGTGGGCAGAGTGACAGGAAGTCCGTGAATGGTGAACTTCCAGTATTGAACCTTCCCAGAGTTTACAATTCTTGGTGCTGACCAAAAGGAGTGTGGCCTCTGGGGACAAAAATGGAGGTCTGTAGAGTTGTAAGTTACAGACCAAGTTTTTCCCCTTTGATTTATGGCCCCAGTGAGAAAAAACAAAAGGAGGATCCATGACTTACAGTATGGACCAAGAAGATGATTTTAGTAAGACATTTATCATATCTCTCTCTAAAAGCCTGGTGGGCTTGGCTACATCCCTGCGCACAAGTTATCACGAATTATTTATAGGATGATAACAAAACCTTGCATGTTTGGGTGGAGAGTAATGTACAACTGTAGAAAACAAAATGTAGATTGCAAATTATAACTCATAAAAGTGATTCATTTTAATGTTAGTAACACAAATGCTGCTTTTATTACCATCAGAATCCTAGGTGTCACCACACTGGACATTGTGAGAGCAAATACATTTGTTGCTGAAGCTAAGGTAAAAATTTAACACTTCCTTTGAAAACCAGCATAACTAATGACCCAGGGGGTGGAGGTGTGGGGAGGGGGTGAATTCCTATATAGAAAGGATGAGGCTTCTTGTTATATCTCTGAGGGGTAAAAAGGCAGATTTTGGTACCTCTTACGGGTGTTCCACCTCAAAAGATCTCGCAGCAGGAGCTTTTGCAGTACCTTTCAGGCTATTGAGCCAAAAAAAGTCAGTGTCAGTTAATGTATTGCTTTAGAATTGGTACCTCTTAGAAGGAAATTTGTATTCAAACTCTTAAAAGAGGATCTTGGTACCTCTATGAGCACCCCATTCTTTTTATATGGTAGTCTCCCCCCAGGNCCAGCGACAAAAATACAGGACCACGTTTTTCTATTACATTGAAGACCACATGCAAAAATTCAAGTCCTTTCGCGAAAATTTTTTTTGTTCACCCAAATCGTCACTTAGCATGGTTTTGCACTCACCCCTTCAATTATGCAATAATGCTTTCCATGTCAAAACAAGTCAGTCTGCCAAAAATTAGCTTGATCCTGCAAAAAATGAAAAGTGGCCCAAAATGCTATATACGCCCTTTTTGGACGAAAGCCTTCATTTAACTTTTATATTCCAGTTATCTCCAGAAGTGAGTAAAAAAACACACATCTTCCTTATATTGTCAAGGAAACAAAGGTATCTTGTTGCATACATTGGCAAGGAAAATAAAAGTATCGAGTTACAAACGTTGGCATGAAGAGTAAAATTGTCACATTTGCTATTTCTAGGTATTATTGAATTTAAACTGAACGAGACTCAATGTAAAATACAACAATAAAATTTAAAACCGTCTTGACCAATTGTAATTATAAGTAATTTTTGGGCCTTAAAAGAAAACGCAAACATGAAACATACACACTGCTAAGATTATGTCTTATCAAGTTTTTGTCTGCTCATTTTCTGCAAAGGGGAAAAGGCCTAGTTGACTACCAAGGGAGAGAATGGCAGGGTTGAGGGTCACCTTGTGTGACTACTGTATCAGAGCTGTAAATTGCACTCTTCGCCATCTGAGATTATCCCACTAGTTTACATTTTCACACACTTTCTTTCACACATATTTTTCATCTGGCACTTTAACATTTTAACTTATAAAGGTTTTAGACTGGAAGCCAAAAGGTAAATACATTTTAAAATTGTTAACCAGAGAAGGTTTTAACATATGCTGCTCGCATGATATTGTTTGTCTTCAAGACTTCACCAAAGACATCCTTTACAGACGAGGAGACAGAGAAACTTACTGATCGCATTCAAAATGCAGGCACAGAAGTGGTGAATGCAAAAGCTGGATCTGTGAGTATTTTCTTTGTTTTTTTTTTAGGGCACCTCAATGAACATGTTATTAGATTGTAGCACACTTGTTATGAAGTAAAGTGAATGAATTAAAAAGTGAACTTGTGGACTAGAATCAAATCAAAGATCAGACTTGTGTAGATCTTTGAGGGTAAGCATCAGTAACAAGTAGTCTTTGTTATGAACCAAAAAAAAACACTCAGTTATTACAATATTTTTGGTGGTCAATGATAAATTTTGGACTTCATGGGACGGTGAGGTTGTGATCTATCCTGTGATGACATTATGCGATTCCAGAAAATATCCATACTCCCGCCACAGAAGGGATTGGAATTTCCTGGGGTGTGTGGGATTCTATGAGACCAAAACATTTAAGGAAATGTATGAAGCTTAACCGGAATTTCCAGAGAGGTGGGGAGGTATTAGAAAAAATCCCTTCTGTGGGGGAGGTATGGATATTTTCTGGAGCTACACATTGTGAAAAAGAAAAAAGGTACAAGATGGTGAGACCCATCTTGGTAGCTGGGTATTCAAGCTCACTTTATTACATCTCATACTTGGGCAAAAGCATTTCTTGTGGTTGTGCAGTAATTTTGTCTGGTTACCTTGTCAGGTAGCAGCTTTATGAGCAGCTATTGTAGAAACAGTCACTGGCCTAACTCGAGCGTAGTGTTAAATCTGGTACAATCGGGATCAGAGGTGGAAGATGGTCAATCATCTTTTGCTACTGTCATGGTCACTGTTTCGTTGGAATTTAACAGAACTTGTTATTTTAGTACAGTTTTAACACTACTGTTGATGACAATGGCGTCCATGTAACTATGTTTACTGCAAACAAATATTTTGTTTCCATTGCATTTGTCAGAGTCACAGGCACAGGGGAGGTTTAATTTGGATCAAATTGGTCAAAATTCTGAAGCAAAAATGTGCTGCTCCTGTGGAATGCTTTCCACACGGGCTACATGGGGGTGGGGTGGGGGGAAGAGACATGTTTGCCAGCACTGGCAATACATTTGTGATTGATACTCAGCATTTGTGTTGTTTCAGGGATCTGCTACTCTTTCAATGGCATATGCTGGAACAAAGTTTATTTCCTCTGTAAGTACTGTGAAAGGCATGCCAATACAGTTTTTTTTTTCATTTAAACATGTGGATTTAAGATTCTATGTAAGTTGATGCAGTATTGTATGAAATTTCAATTGGTCTATTACAAATCTTCAGTGCTCGAATTTAAAAAATAAGTTGTCCTTATTCCAAATGCAGGACAACCTGACCCCTGGCTCTGGTTGCCCTGATGACTGCGTGGTTGTACTGTATAATTTGTTGCTTAGTTATAGATGACTAAGAGGAAAAAAAATGCCACGACTTATTTAGAGTAAGCGAAAAGTTTTAGCGGGTTTCCAAAGGATTTGAAGCCCTCTAAAACCCGATAGTCCAAAGGGTTTCTTTTATTTGACGTAAATGATGCGAAGTGGCACGAAATGGCCTCCTTGACACATCGTTCAACTAGAATGTTTGCACTTTCGCGTTAACAACTTAACACTTCGCTTAAGTACTTCCTTGAAACAGAGGGTATAACAATTGCACATTCACGTAAAAGAAACAGGGTTACAACGGCAAAAAGCCTGTGGTTTCAATGAAAAGCCTAAAGGTTACATCAAAGACCGCTGTCTGCAGTGTAGTGCTAAGAATGCCTCGTCAACCTGAATTCTGCAATGGAAATGGTTACTGAGAAACTTGATGACTTCCTACTCAAGTTCAAACTAGAGCTGGCTATCAGCTGCCAGCTTAAGAAAGCTCAACTCCAAAAAAATGTTCAGAAGTGTGATTTTAAAATAGTCACACCTTTTTGTTTCTCAAAAGTTAAAAAGAGCATTGGATGTCAGTGCGAAGCGTTTATTAGTGAAGTGCTCACTGATATTTGTTTTAGGTCCTTGCTGCACTCAATGGTCAGAAGAATATGGTGGAGTGTGCATTTATCAAGTCAGACGTCTGTGACACAGGATACTTTGCTTCACCTGTAGAACTTGGGGTAAGTAATGACACAGAGTTCATTGCCACTTTAAGAGGTTACAATTCTTGGTTTGGTGCCACTTTTCAGATATCACGGTATTTTAGGTAGCAAATTGCCTGTTACAGTAATCCAAATATATTTAACTCAACCAATAAATCAGTAATCGCTCGTTTTTGACTTCTGGTTGGGGGCTAAACGGTTGGGGGCTAAACGGTTGGGGGCTAAACGGTTAGGGGCTAATCGATTTGGGGGCTAAACCACAAGTTACGAATAGATCACTCTCCAAACCTGAGGTTTTGAGTAAGATAAGGATGCTGAAACAAGGCATTGCTTTGTTTGTGCGTCCGTCCTTGCCTCGTCTCCTGTTTTCTTCATTCCATTCTATTCCTTTCCTTTTCTTTCATTTTAGCCCAATGGCGTGGAGACAAACTTGGGAATCGGAAAACTGTCTGCATACGAGACAAAGAAGCTAGAAGAGGTTAGTGCAACATCGCACTTGCAGCTCCTGTAACAGTTTTCCCATACATAACTCGTTTTAACGTCAACCACAACTAATAAGTCGGAAGAAGTCATGAAAATAATTTTACATTTTCTGCTAAGACAGTGACTTTTTGTTTCGGGCTCAACAGTGTTTTCTTTCTAGAAATATGGATTGATCGGTTGACAACAGGAAGAACATGGTTAAAAAACAAAACGAAAATTAAGATAAGAGTGAAGACAGTAAAGACCATTTTATGGTCGTTTGGTAGTCTAAAATTTTGTTTCATGATCGGATGAAAACCCAGTCAATTTGTTGCAGGAGTGAAAGAAGCAGTTTTTTTTTCTATATCAAACACAGTTGCCACGGGTCAGGGGAAAAAATTCTTCAAGGTCAGGCAAAGTCAGGGAATTTGAGACCACAGTGATCAATCACACACTCCGAAGTTGTACGTTCACTGATTTATTTCTTGATTACAATGATGGAAGCATGCAGTTGATCACTGTGGTCTCAAATCGATACTTGCCCCGAGGACTCGATTCGGAAACGCGATAGTAAGTTATAATTCCCGCCTCCGTTTGTGTGAAAATGTGAAGGATATCTCCGACTAAGTGACTAGCCTGCGTAGCAAGCGTTTCCGTGGGGTTTGGAAGCAAAGAAAGACCGAGGAACGGGATTTTCGGTGTTTTGTCTGCGCGGAAAATGGGGCGACAACCAAAAAAAAGAAAGATGGGGGTGGGAGAGGGGAAGGAAGGAAACCTCCTTCCTTTCCCTCCCCACCCCCCTCTTTTACTCGCTCCATTTTCCGCGTTGTAATTCTTTGCTCCCGAACCCCACAGAAACGCTTGCTACGCAGGCTACTAAGTGACTAAATATCTCCGTGCTGTTAAACTCCGAGCAAAACTCCGTTCTAAGTGATCATATTACGCTAGAAGTTGAGAAATACTTGTAAAAAATTAACTGAGACGAAATGATAAAAAATAATAAGCGTAACGCAAGACTAATGTCAATGACAGGGGGTAACCCTGGGGGGTAACCCTGCGATGGACTGGCGTCCCATCCAGGGGGTAGTAGAAATACTCCTCGTCTCTTCATGCAAAATTGACATTTTGAAGAAAAGTCAGGGGAAATTGAAATAATTAACATGGCTGATTTAATACCATCGAATGATGGAAGAAACATTTGGGGTGACTGTGATCTCAACGATATCTTTACTTGATGAAGAAGGAATGTCAATGAGGTTAGATGCCGCTATTATTTCTGACATTTTGTATTTATTTGGTCAGGGAAATTATATTTTTGTCAAGGAAAAGTCAGGGAACTTTGAAAAGTTATGCCTGTGGCAACCATGTCAATAGTGTCCTTTTAGAATTTAGGCTACATATCTTCATGGATGCGCTTGTTCTTATTTTTCAGGTGATCCCCGAACTGAAGAAGAATATTAAGAAAGGCGAAGACTTCGTTTTGGGAAAGTGATTCCGTTGTGCTCTTTGTCTGAAGCTTAGGCGGGAGTTTCTTGTGTTCCGGCATTCTTTGCTAATTTATCGAATCTATATAGCTCTTTTGCAGTCTGCTGAACGAATGTACAAACTCCGGTCCAAGAAAGGATCGATTAAAAGAATGTTTTTATCAGCGATGCCTTCTGTTCAAACTGCAGTGTTCAACGCCTTTAGAGGGAATCTGGGGTCAGCATAGATTACAGGCTACCCTAACTTCACAAACACTAGCCATTGCTCGTAACCGAATTCGAGAAATAGCTGAACCGTTTCTTTACAACAAGTCCCCTAGTCGGTCACGGCAGCGCAAAAGAGACCTCTCTTCGGTGCGGGCGGCAGAAGGGGAAAGAAAATCGCGCGCTTTCTTTGTCCCCTTTCTACCGCCCCCCTCCTCTCCTCTAGGGAACCTCTTCAGGTGGAGAGGCGGGGGGGTTAGAGTAGCGAACACGAGCACTTCTACTGTTGTGAAACGCAAATGGCCACCATTTTGAACTGAATTGCTGTCATTTCTCCCTGGAAAGGATTTGCCCGATGGCAGTTCGCCCGGACTGGGATTGGGAGTAACGCATTTCTGCCAGTTCTCCTGTATTATCTTGGGAGTCTCCCAGATACCAGTCTACCTGTCCTCCGTTCAGGGCCACAAAGTCTCCTGGATTGAACTGGATTACGAAACTGGCAGTAGACAATATATCACCCATTTTGCCTTCTTGTTTCATTTCGTAAAATAATGCTGGCGCTCACATTCTTAGCTTGGACTACTTGTAGCCTGCGTAGGAAGCGTTCTCGTACGAGGCGAACGAAATTCGGTCCGCGCGAAGGAGTCTTTCGCATTCGGGCCGCGCGAAACATCTCCCATTTTGCGCGCGGCCCGAATTTCGTTCGCCTCGTACGGGAACGCTTGCTAGGCAGGCTAGGGCTACTTGTGGTTAAGGTTTGAGACATTACAAAGACTCGTCAAAACTTTTCACTCGAAATTTTTCATGACTTTAGAATTTTTTAACGTACCAAAGTTTGCAGAAATAAAACCCCTTTCAAATTGTAAAATTCACGTTCATTTTCGCTACCATGCCCACGAGCAACTAACCCCTCCCCTGAAGAAGCGGAAATGCTCTTCTTTAAAGTGAGGCATCATAAATACGCAAGCGCGACTTTGTGCGATTTCCTTTCCTGATTTTCAAAATGGACGTTGACTGTGTATGCGAGGAGTATTAGAGATCATTCTTAATTTCGTGGGGTTTGGTAATGAAAGCTGCTTTTTTTGAGGTTAAATTCTCGAAGGAATTAACCTCTTTTCAAGGGAGTTCCTGCTCAAAATACGACAACTTTCAACGCTGAGTTTTCAGATGGAGGTTGCCGAGTTGTCAGCAGAAGACGATGTCGTTACAAAAGATAGGTTATCTGGTCAAGGTAAGCTAATAGTCAAGAAGATTTAGAAACCTGAGTTAATTTAACAAGTTTACACAGGACGGTTTGAGATTATTTCCTTCTCAGGTTTGAGTCATCAAACGACGCGAAATTTGTAGGTTTTGTGGCAGTTGTATGGAATAATAACAACTCAAGTTTGTTTTTGAAGAAGATTTGTCGAGTCAGTTGTCTTATCTGGTCATACTTCCAAAAATAGCTGCTCCGGGTGTTAAGTTATATTTAATATTAACGGTGTTTTTTGTATTTTAGGAACAACTACTCAGCCAAACGAAGGCTATGCTATCTCAATGAAAAAAGGAGAGGAAACAGATAAAAATAGGCCACGTGTTACATACTCGAAGGTGACAAGCTATCTGTTGAACTATTGCAAATAACTCCGCGTTGATTTTCTATCTAAATCTCTTCCCTTTTGCGTTAAAGTAATAGTGCAGGATTTATAAGTGATTGTAATTTTGCAAAGACTCGTAGCACAATACGGTGCTCATTAGAAAGAAAATTTCCATGAAGCAAGTGAAATTTGTAATGTGTACAAATATACGGATTATTTACAACAATCATTGTATGTTGTTTGACATCTCTTACAACAGGAGGACTTACTCAATTTGAGAGAGTCTCCAGCATCGAAACTTTGGCCATCAATTCTTTCCGAGGAGCATGTCAGGTTTGCTCTGTCAATATTTTCTTTCTGTAACTAGGAATTAAATAATGCTAAGTACACTTTGTAATATTACTATACCGTTCTCCAAATTAAGCATAATAAAATTGTAATTTGTTTAAAGCAGGAAAATTGTTTGTAATTTTTTTACACTTGCATATTATTACATATCACTTAATTGTTTTGATCCCTACACCAACCAATTCTAAACTTTGGTATATCTAGTACACTCTTCTCAGTCATTGCAGTCATTATGGTTCAGTAAACTAATACATGTAGAGTAGTTTCCTCTTTGCTGACCTATATTACTGGTAAAATGCCAATCATATTTGTGCATTAACCCTCTGACACCTTCCCCCCCCCATAAACCGCATTTTGACATGCAGATCAAGACAAATTTTTTTTTTTATCATCTTGAATCAATTTCCATGAATTTACATTATAACTGAGTTGAGAAACAGTGAAATCTGAGGTGATGGATCAAAGGTGGCAGACTGAAGGGCTACCATTTGATATAACTGAAAGAATAGAGGGAGTCGAGGGCTAAGTATTAAATGGAAAATAATTTTGATAGTGAGTCTCAACGGAGGAGCAGAGGCCCCTTCCACCCCCAATTGTTTCATGGTAAGGGTATGAGCTTGGTATATCATTAATTAAGTGTCCTTGATTGGTAGAGTGGTGTTTCCCCTTGGCTAGCTAAACTAGCTTAACTCTAAACTGTGGAGCAGGGGTGATACAGTGGTTAGAATGCTCACCTTTCACCAATATGTCCCGGGTTTGAATCCTTGACACTGTGTAATAAGTGGGTTGAGTTTGTCTTTGGTTCTCATCCTTGCTCTGAGTGTGTTTCCATAAGTTCTCTGGTTTTTCTCTCTCCGCAAAAATCAACACTTCTAAGTTCCAATTCGATCTGGAAACAGTGGATGAAGAGCCACTTCATGGGATGTGCCACTGCAAATTCCTCTTGATTTTATTTATTTAAACTCTGACACATAAATAATTTTTGATTGATTGATTGCTTGTATGTCGTAGTTCTTATAGTTATCAACAGTGACATTATTATATTTATTTGCAAAATAAAGGAAAATTCTCCCTACCTATAGTTAGTTCCCTTACAACATCAGATCAGAATTAACATCAAATGATTTGTTACCATTCTCTATTAATTACTTACTTGTTCTTTACCAGGCATGGTGTGTGGGATCCTGAGATATGGCATCAGTCCTTCTCTGGAGGAAAAAGATGTGCATCACCTGGGGAGGAACTCAAAAAACAACTTGTGTAAGTAGAGTTAGGAAGAAGTAAAACATAATTTTAAGTTCTACTTGGACTGAAGAAAATTTAGGCTAAGTTGGACTCAAGCCATGGCTGAGACTGTTAAATGTCAGGGCTCTCATTAAGGGAGGGTACGTGTAACACCTGTTTCGATTGAGTGTGCTTGATTTTTCCTTGACGCTAAGGGGAGAAATTGCGTGTTGTTGATAGAATCACCCATAAAGTAACAAGTTTGCTGTGCCATATGGGTGTTGAGAATAAGGCTACAGGTGACTCAAAACTTGATGGCAGCCCTGAATGTTCAACCTGAATCTGCTGTAGTCTGAAAAAAGGAAGATCAGTTTGTCATTGCATCTAGTTTTAGTTTATTCTCTTGTTACTAATTGAATAGAGAACATTTTTGTAAACTGTTGTTAATTCCAGGATTGAGGATGGCATAGTACTGAGCCCTCAGCGTCAAAGCTTTGTACAAGGCTGTCAAATTCCCCAAAGTGCTCCTGAAAGAAACATCCAACAGGACAGACTTAAGACTGGCTTAAGCAGAACAACTGATCGCGAGCGGGAGGGAAGAAGCCGGCTCACTGGAAGAGTGGGTAGAGGAAAAGCCTTAGACTTTAAAGAACGTACACCTTTACAAGAAAGGAACAAGGTGCAACTTGTTTAGTAATTGTTCATCTACATTTCATACGTGTGTATGGCAGTTCTGAGAGCTGTAGGAAAGGCTTTCTTTGTCATATTCACAGTAAATATTTATTTGTATAATATTAACTTATTTATTCAATCTCACTCTAGCTTTAACTGACCATGACTAATGCTACTGGCAAAGCAAGTATTTAAAACTGAAAGCATTGCCTTTTTTTAAATGTATTTGCACATATAATTTGCTTTGAGGAACTGAGAGGAAGACAAAGTCTTTGAGAGACATTTTGCACTCATCTGTGAAATCCTTAAGTTGCAAAAAAAAGTGGTAGAAGATGCAATGTTAAACTATGCAAAGGTTTTTAAACCTGTTTTATAGCACAATCCTGTAAGTTGAAGATTAATACCAAAATTCTTGGTCTGCACAAATAACATTTAAAGCTACACCTCCTTGAATGGTGATTTGTTGATTTGTTAACACAGTTTTGAAACTTTTAGGACCCTGAGGATCTATCAGGGACATACACAGGACCAAAAGAGAGGGAAAGGGAGGAGAGAGGTAACAGAGACAGAACTGAACGAGGATATGGCAAAGACAAAGACAGAGGAAATAGAGAGAGGGACAAGGAGCGAAAAAGAAGCAGGGAAGAATCTACACGAGGGAGAAACATTCAAGGTACACGTTCACTTTATTTTCCACAAATTACCACTGACAGAAGAAGAGAAAAATAGTGAACTGTGGTAGAACTTCAGCTTGGCTGCGTTTTTCCTGAAAGCGTGCACCCAATCCCAATCCGTATTCCAGTTTGCCATTAAGACAAGTATTTCTCAAATATTGCTTGCCCTGGGCAAGTCTTAGTTTACTTTTTTGATGATTTAGTTGGCAGATGACTTGCCTGATCCCCCGCTCATCGGGAAAGTGAGAATGAAAAGCCACTTGCCCAGAAGGAGAATCTACTTGTTCCAGACAACTGGACGGCATTTTTTTCAAGCCCTTCATATCTTTTTGCAGCCCATGCAAGCCATTTGTTTTAGTTAGAAGACACTTACTTGCCAACAATTTTCAATCATACAGTCAGAAAGAAGCAAGGTAAAGAAACTCAAAATGAAGAGCCAGAATGGTTCACATTTGGTCCTTCAAGTCAGTTTGAAACCATGGAGCTTAAGGGATTTGATGAAGATGAAGTTATTAAAAGAGGTGTGGATACATTAAGGTCTAACATCACTCACTCACGCATCCTCTTTGCTCCTGTGAGTGGAGTGTAAGACTGCTTCTAACGTCTAATGTAGTCTTAAGTTTTTCTTTTATTTTTAATTTTTTAATGCAACAATAACATTACATTACATACGAAAATTACCTGCTCTACTTACAGTGCTAACATAACTTAGGATTTAACAATACTAACAAAACTTACGATACTAACATTATTTACAATTTATTAATATATTACATTACTTTCATGTAGGACGTTAGCTACAATAGGTGTCTTTCTTACATATTAAATTGTGACTTACTGTAGATTTATGTTTCTCAGTTTTATTTTATTTGTTAGAATCGCTAAGAAGGCTTCCAAATAAAACTCTTCTTCTTTTCTTGAAGCAGTATATAAATAATATTTGGCTAGAATCATGCAGAGGTTTAAGCCAAGACGACGAGCGAAGTTATCAGTCATGCCACATATTATTTCATTTTTATCGAGAGTGATCATATCTGTGTTTTAATTTGGAGTTCCACCAATTATTAACGACAGACCAAAAAGGCTGAGCTTCAGAACAGGTAACAAAAACATGGGTTAACATTTCTCTTTCGGCACAGAGGTGACATTTATCATGTTCCTTAATTGAATCTGTCAAGTTTTTCTTGACTGTTCACCATCATCTTGTGTCCTCTAAAAACAATGCCCGCACTGGGTGCAGGGGTTGGTCACAAAGTTTTGAAGTACACGACTTTATCATCAGAGTAGGTAGCAGGCTGGCTTTGCCATCTTTTCCAAAGAATAAGAAGACTAGTGCAGTAGAGCCAAGATCATGAAAGAAACAGTGATGTTGCCAGTAACGGGCTACTTTTGAGAACTCTAGGTGCAGAATTTTCATGTTCAACTTTAACTCTTTGTAGCTTAACTGCTCTGAATTATAGCTTGACTGCACAATAATGACCACAACAACAAGGTAACAAAGGCTCCTCAAGCCAGGAAAATTTAAGGCTTTCGTACAAAAAGGGCGTATCATTATAGCATTTTAGGCCGATTTTTGTTTTTTTGCAGGATCAAGCTAATTTTTGGCAGACTGACTTGTTTTGACATGAAAAGCATCATTGTGTAATTGTCTTTGTTGATTTGCACTTCATTTTCAAGAAATAACGTATGCAAAAACACTCAGTTTTTGGAGCAGCATCTTTTGGAGGGAATCCTTCAAAGGTGGATTTGGACACGACACGAACTTAAACGATTACTTTTACCAGCTTTGACAGCACAGTTTTTTTAAAAAATAGATGTTTTTCATTTTGATAGAAGTAGAGAAATAGACCTGAAAGAAAAAATTGACCGACCTCGAATCCGGCCCTTTCAGCGCCTTATTTGCTTGTGCTAATGAAGCAACAGTAAGAGAATAGCATGATTGTATGAATAATAAAACTTGTATGGGTTCCAACAACTAGTGGCAAATGCCTCTCTTTGATGACTTCATTGTATAGCAAAACAAAAGGTTTCAGACTTTTGTTTTTCATTCAACAAAAGATCTCCAAAAAATACCCTTTGAAAACTGAGTTTTTTGCATATGTTATTTCTCAAAAACAAATCCCAAAACAACAAAAACAATTCTGCAACAATGCTTTTCATGTCAAAACAAGTCAGTCTGCAAAATTTAGCTCGATCCTGCAAAAAAATAACAATCGGCCCAAAATGCTATAAACGCCCTTTTTGCATGAAGGCCATCAATTTGATTGAATGTTAAAGAAGTAGTCAGCTCACCTGTAATACAAATGCATACATGTTGCTTGTATGAAACATGATAATTTTTTTCCATTTATCTCTATGACTGACTAGACCGTGAGAGACGCAAGTCTGCTTCTGATGAGATCAAAGCAATTTTGTCAGGTACTTACAAAAGGATTTCTTTCACTTCATGATGTGAGAACTCAAGAGTCGTGTTATCAATGAAGATCTTTGACATGTGCATGTTATGTTTTGTTATGGTACAAGTACATACTCTACCTTGTATCGATTATATTTTGTGATAGCATGTGCAAAGGCCTTTGATAATTTGTTATTGTTTTGTTCATTCTTACAGAATTGGTTTGGTGTTTCATATCATTATGTTGGCAGATTTGTTTCCTTCTTCCACCTAACATGTTTTTTAAAACGTTCAAAATCCTTTCCAGATGCCCATTGACAACTCTTTTTCAAATTAAAAAAGTTCTTTCTAATAATAACAAGCAGACCAAAAGGGCCTTTATGTTCATCAGAATTTTTACAGTCCTTCCACTGATAAGTGATTGATAGAAGGGAGGGTTAGTAAGTGTTGACTGTGAAGTATTTTGAATAGTTGATGATATATTGATGGTCAGCCTCATAAGATCTTATGTTGTATTCTTGAGCATTTTACCTCCAACAGTTACGGCAAAAAGTATGTTTTCTCACCTAGTTGATAATGTTCATTTATTTCAGTGGGGCAGAAAGGCCCTTCTAATGGTGAACTGAACAGTTCATCACCAGTCGCAGACAGTAGCCTATCCCAAGATGCTGCTGGTGACAAGAAAACCAATACTGATGATTGCACTAGCACAACTGCTCCTGACGACATTAAACAAAAAGCCAAACCTTTTGACATCAATGACTTTTTCCTGAGTGACACTTTGCTCCCTTTCACAGGAGGGGTAAGTGTTTCCATGCCTTAGTGTTGTACTAAAGGCTTCTAAACTAGTGTGTCTTAGTTTACACTTGGTTTAGTTTTCAGGTTTCTTGCTGCCTGGTCAAGTTATTGATGTGTAGATTCTTTACATCACAGTTTCTTGTATCACACATTTTAGGAGACACCCAAATCCAGTTGCTGCCATCCTTGTTTATTTAGGAATTATTCAGTCATTCTTAGTGTGAATCTATTGCCTAGTGGATTCATGCAGGAGTTTGGAGAGAAAGAGAGTAGCAATGCAGTTACTTGAGGCGTGGCCAAGAGCGTCTCCAGCTTTTTGAGTGCTCTCCAAATGCTCAAGTCCATTATGGTCAACTTGCCTTTTCCCTCCATGCTATTTGCTCAGAAAACATGCACTTACATGTACTGCCTAATCATAACTAAGCACACAAAGTCTAAAAGTAGAATGCAAATTATTGGAACCCAGTGAAAGAAGGACAACATAAACATGTTCTGAGAGAAATAGGAGGAAAATGAACACCAAATTTTCAATTTAAGAATTTTTTTTAGGAACACTTGCTTATGCACTTGAAAAAGCTTCTGCCTAAATCTTCCTCCATTCTGTTTGTTTGAGTTTGTCTGAGTTATAACATCACAAGACCTCAAGTGACATCTGATGGACTTTGAGATTCTCTTAGCAAATTGCTTTCTGATTCCTTCTGCAAAAACAGGAGAATTTGACATGGGATCAAGAGTCGGTGCTTTTTTTGATGCACCTCTTCAATTGTTAAATAGCTTTATACATTATCTTATCAGGTGGACCAAACCAGTAGTCGATTTTGCCAGTTTTTTGGTCAACCAGGAAGTAACTACAGCAGTAGTAGAAGTGGAAGTACAGGTGAGTTTGCAGTGATACAGCCCTATCCTAGTGTTGATGCCTAGGGTGGAGGTAGTGTGGCCCAATTCTTAGGGCCTATGAATTGAAATCGGGGAGTGACAGGTTAAAGTCCTGTTTTGACTTCTACCTGGTGTTGTTCTCGGTATTCCTCAGTTCAAATCCTTAGCCATGTTTGTAAATAGCCAACTGGTCTGCTGCCTTCCATTTGGATTTTTTAACCTATTACATTTGTTTACATTATTTATTTCATCACTGTTTTCACAGGCCCTGAAAAGCCTCATTGTGGAAGTGGTCAATAAATGTGTTTATTTTATTTATTTATTTATTTATTTATTTATTTATTTATTTATTTATTTATTTATCTAAGCTAGAGTTCAGTAATTGCCTACTTTGAGAGGTTTTAGCTGTTTGACTGGACAGTCAAAACAACCTGTAAGTGGACACCTTTTGGTGTCCACTTAGGGGAGGTGTATGCTTACTGAGGGTTATAATTTGCATTGTTTGAATATGGCTGTGACCATGTTTAAGTGTGCTGTCTATTGACTAAGAGATGCTTGTATGACTGAGTGACTGTTTCCATTAGGTTTCTCAAGTGGAGGTGCCAACACGCCTCGTACACCATCACCAGGACCAAATTACTTATTCACCCCTATTGCGCCTTCAGTGGATGACGGTATTAAGTCCCACAGTCTAGCAGATATGCTGCAGAAATCTCAGATCAGTGTGCAACCGTTGTTGGACGAAGTCATGTCAGCAGGCAAGGAAAGCAGCAAAGTAAAGGGTTCAGTTCGTTTGGAAGACATTGAAGCTGATGTAACTCAAGATGTTGAGAGCTCTTCCAAGAAAGAAATCCCTGATTTGGAGCAGAACAAAGAAAACATCAGTAGAGGTATTGAAATACCCAAACCAAATGAAGAAATGGTTGCATTTAATATGCTTGTGGAGAAGATGAAGTCATCGGGCACCTTACCAGAGAAACCTCAACCTACAGTAAGTTGTCTTGTAATGTTATTAATAGTCACTAAACAAGTGCAGTTGGTCATTCTGCCCACGTTGTTACTGATTGGAAACCGTTTATGCTAAGGAAACGTTAAAAACATGGTATTACTGCAAGTATGCGACAGGCTGTCTCTCCGTCTCTCTGTCTGCCAGTCATTCTTTCAGTCCAGTCTGTCTGTTTCTCAGTCAGCCGGTCAGTCTCTGTCAGTTTGTCAGTCAGTCAGTCTGTCTGTCAGTTGGTCTGTCTGTCCGTCCGTCTCTCAGTCAGTCAGTCAGTGAGTCAGCCATTACACTAATGAGCCCCTATTTGTCTTTGCATCAAGATAACTGGCTTACCCACCCGCTTGCTGCCAAGGCCACCCTCCCCCAAGCGCAGAACTCCGAGGAACACTCCATCTCCCCTGCGGGATCTGAGGAGGTCGCCATCACCCACTGAATTGCTGAGGCAGATGACCATGCAGGCACCGTTGTCTGATCACAGACCCCCGTCACCAGCACAGGTTGTACCACAGTTGAATAGACCTCCATCTCCACTGGAGGTGTTCCACAAGTACAATTCCATAGGTGTGTGTTCTCGTTCACTGTTAGCCTACAACACAGGTGATGTGTACTAAGATTTCGGTAGATAATAATGCAAGAACGAGTTACGTTTTACACGAGAAAGAGGAACAGAGAAACCTTTTGTTACTTATGGCTTCTATTCGTCCACCGATCTACCTGGTGATCCCTCCACAGAATCAACTTCTAGCCCACAAGTTATAAGCATATTTTTCTTTTTCATGTAATAGATCCTTAAACTTCGTTCAACCCCTTCCAGTGTGTATTACCATTTAAGCCTTGAAGATCTACTTGTGGAAAGCTAATGTCTTCACGATCATTCTCAGTGATTCTTATGACTCAGGAAAAAAAGGGAGCTTAAGGAATGACGACGATGACGCCAAGGACGACGCCTGGAAGAAAATGGATTACATTATTTTGAATTTGAATGTTAGATCTGTTCAGTAACCTGATGAGTCTAAATACGTAATAACGGTGTTGAATTTGAAAACAAAATACGAAACATTCGCGCTCATGCTTCACGGTTATTCCACGTTGTTTTGCAGTGGACAACTAAGAAAGGTACAAAGATGTAGAACAAGCATGCATAGCCGTTGTTCTGCTCTTCGGTGAAGTTCTTGTTGGCGGCGCTGTTCTGGTTTGCTTAAACTCCCTAAACTCATAGTAAAAAGGTCGTCGTTTGTGGTTAACCTTATCATCTTCCCCACTGAGTCTAGGCCACCCTTGTTTCTCATTGTTTTGTTACTGGATCTTTGATGTTCGTCTTCCTTCGTAAACTGTTCGGAGGTTTACATCAATTCCACAATAATTTCTCTTCATTCATGCCTTTTTTCGTTCTTACTATTTAGCAACACCTCCTCACGATCTGTTTGCGTCTCCTTTGCTTCGTCGATCACCCTCTCCACTTGCAATGCTGGCACACCAGAGGCAGAGCCCACCTCTTGGGTTTGGCAGTGTCAACATGCATAGAATACCACCACAAGTCACCTCTCTGTACCACACAGGACCTCGACCCAGCATGCCGTACAGAGGAGGTCAGCAGCCAGCCCTGAGGAAACCACAAGACAAGTACACTAAGTCCGGTGGAGCTTCTGAACCGCGGAGCCAGCCAGCAGTGCAACCAAAACCTGTATCAGCAGGTCAGGCCAATTCTCCTCACATACCAGACCGGTCATTTATGCCGACATCCGTCATGAGAAAGATTCACCAAGATCAGAAGACACCAAAACCCAACTTTGAAGACCAGTCTAAAGCAAGTCTTGCAGCTGAAGGTGACAATGTAGCTAGTAGGAGAGGTGTGTCTGAATTACAGCCATTTGACAGTGCTCATTCGAAAGCCAGTTCACAGTCTGGCAGTGGAGATGATCTAGTCAAAGTAGGGCTATTTCAAAGTTATACAGGCGAACGTCACACACCAACTCATGGTACTGCTGCTAAAGGAGATCATATGCTTTCTCCAAAATCCATGGTGTCTAGTGATACGCAGCTGTCACAGACCTGCTCGCTAGTTTTACAGAAGCCTACTGCTTTCAAACCTCTACCTGGCTCACCTCAATTGCCATTCTCTAGTCTTAAGGGTGGCATTCACTCCGAACCTGCCTCTCCTCTGCATTCTTTTAACCAGAAGGAAGGATCTCCTTTGAGACCGCCAAAACCACTACCTCACTCGGCCCCGTGCACCCCTCAACGCCATCCCTTCATTGACAAGGCAGCTCTGCTCTCACCGCAGCAGTTGGCATCGAAAGGATTAATGACCAGAGATGATAGCAACAAACCACCTCTGAGGTTATTTGGGAACAGCAGCACTTCATTGGAAAGCCAGGCCAAAGGTAGTCGCAACGGCATCACCCGAGTTGTGGCGGCTAATGAAGGTAGGCCCTTGTCTCATTCATATGAACAGCAGCCACATGTTACTTCAGACAAGTCGTCTGTCTATGAAGATGCCTATCACACAAAGAGAAGCGAAAACTTGTCGGGCGGTCACCCAGTGTCTCACCACAATCCAAATAACGTGCATGGCATTCAAAGGATAAGCAGCTCCGAAGCTCTTCACGAGAATTTACCTCTGAACCACCCACACAGAATGCACGGAGGTGACACCAGGCCAACGCCGGTGCATCACGTGCCAAGATCATTCCATGGATCACACGGTCCACGGCCTGGTCCACATGTCACAAATGGACGCTTGTCACCATCAGGCATGCCAGCCATGCACGGGGGGCATCCAGGGCGCACGCCGTTCAACTCGCCCATGCCAGGCATGGCAGTGCCACCCAGGTCTGCCATTCATCCGGCAATTATTCCACCGCGGCTCCATGCAGCTTATCTCAGAATGATGTCTTCAGCAGCTGGCACGCCCATGGGAATGCCTTCTTCTGGAATGAGCCCAATGTCCATGAGGATGCCTCCACACTCAGCTGGAAGGTACCCCATGATTCCTGGACACCATCCTGCTGCTGCCGCCGCCATGATGTACGGGGGTCGTCCGTCATCCGGCTATCCACCTGTAAACCCTGCGGCCATGATGGCACCTCGTTCCCCTCACATGTCCCATCAGACGGGGCTTCAGCAGGTCCATGGAAGACGAGGTAGGTTTTAGAGTCTGACGTTTTCTTTTATTTCTTGGTGCCTACCGTCGAGACAGATATTACACCGGCAGTTGTAAATCTCTTTAAGGCTTCATGAACGATCTTTACTTTGAAAAAACGCTGAATACTCTTGTTTATGTGAAAAGCCCACATTCCATAGACACCTAAAAAGTGTCAAGTGTTCATGCTTCGTGTGACGCTACAGTAACTTTTCCCGAGTGCTGTTGCAAGGCTTTAGGGAAACCCGTTGGGAATGTTAAGATGTTAACTATGCCCGCCTGTGAGGTCATCGGAAACCCCAAAATATACCACTTATCAGAATTTTTGTCAAAATTTTTTTCAGTTTCCACCCGTTTCGCTCAAATCGATTTTCTTTCTCTTGAGTGGGTGCTTAGCGAAAAACTGAGACTATTAGCCTTATGTCTTTGCTTGTAGTTCCAAGTCCGGTGATGAACTTTCCGCCACAAAGCCATTCTCCAGGAGGTGTCGGCAGCGGTAATATCTTGTCCAAATGGTTCAGCGAAGACGTTCTACAACAGGCTACTCCAGCACAACGTCACAACTCACCTGACGTCACAAGGAAAGTGGTGTCTGTAGAAGAACTAGAGCGACAGCAAGCTGCAGCCATAAATTGACTCAAGACCGTGAAAAGCTCACTTGCCAAGGGGAATTTGTATTTAGTGCGTTGTTTGAAGAAAGGGGCTGAATACTCCTCAATGACGGATCTAGGTGGGGAATAAGAAGAAGGAAAAGAAGAAGGAAGGCAGAAGAAAGGAAGAAGGAAAGCCGGCATGGCAGGGCAAGCAAAAAAATCTGTCCCGTCCCCCTAACCTCAAGGTCTGGATCCGCCACTGCTCCTGTATCTCTTTAAACAATTTAGATTATTAACTTGAGACTTCTATCCCATGATAGCTGACGAGGGTGATTCAACTATCCCGCGATAGAAATCCTTCTTGTTCAAAGTCAATTTGAATTTGTAATAGATGCTCTCTGGATGAACTGCAAATTCATATGAAAATATGCCAATATTTATATGAAAGCAAACACGTGGCGTAAGTGATTCTCCACAAACGTCATGAACTGACCAATACTCTGCGCAGAACTATGTCGACGCTGAGGACAGCGTCGATTGAAAAATGAATTTATATTTTACCTACGAATCTCGCGGTACTCTTTAAGTGTTTACTCTGTTTGTCGCTGTCAAAAATATCACAAAACTAAATCTGGAACAAAGCAATAAATTTGAAATAGAGATTTAGGCCCCGTCCGCATGTAACTGGATATTTTTGAATACGCAACTTTTTCTTTCCGGATACGGCTTCCGTCCACACGCATCCGGCGAATTCGGCAGTGAAACCGGATATTTCTGCTACGTGTGGACAGGGAAATTTTTGAATCCGCAAAGAAAAGGACATTTGCAGTCACGGCAGTGAAAGAGTGGAACAAGCCCCCTATCAATATTAGATCCAGTAAGAATGTTAAGCTTTTTAAGCAAAATTATGTAAATTATCTTAAGGATTCATACATAGGGCTCGACCATTTCTCTATTTCTTAAGTCAACTTTACTTAGTATTTAGTCGTTAGTCATATTATTTATTAGATTTTACGTATAGTGTAATGAGGGCCACTAGTTTGTCAGTGCTAACTGTAAAGTGTTTTTACCCTCGTGAAATAAAGTTATTCTTCTTCTTCTTCTAAAATATCCGGATACTTGTAGACGGGGCCTTAAAAATTAGCCGTCGTGGTTTACTTTCTTCAGACAACACAGAATTCACGTAGGGGCCAAACCACCCCCCTAATGTTTCATGAAGGCTATATTTGCTTGGTTTATATATTTCTGAACCAAGTTTGGCAGATGAGCTTTCT